TTGCAGTAACTTTGCAGCAGCAATAGGAAACTAATAAAGTACATATGAAAAAAAAAGCAAGTATACACAATATATATTTGATTATATGTGAAAAGTATGTATTATCATTAAATTTAACCTCTTGAACGGCCATCTTCATACCTATGTAATTCAGTTTTAGCTGTATTCATCAACTAAATGGAAGGCCACACATTTCCCTGGAAAGCGTGAATTTTTTAAAAAAAATTACTTAAGAGATATTACATTTTAAAAAGAAATTATTTTATGGCTTTCTTCTTATGTTTTTCTAATAATCAAATTTAAAAGGATGGGGAAGTAAAGATAAATCACAGCTTTCAACAAATAATGTGCGTTCTTCAATGAGATGACAGAATTATTCCCAGCTATCTCAATACTTGCTTAAGTACAAGTTGTTACTTTAAGATTGCCGTTGTCCTCCATGCTGGATTAGGTTTCACATTATACTGTGTAAGGACACCTAGCTAGTAAACTTCAGTTAAAGGGCTGGTGCTATTGTCACCACATTCCCCTGGCACACTCCCACGTTCAGTAAGGTCTGGAGCTGGGGCCAGGGGTCTGCCATTTCCTTCTCGAGGTGGGCACTCATTTCTGGCCAACCTCCTGCATTCCCTACACGCTTCCCCTCGTTCATTTTTGTGTGGGAAACTCCTGATACATCTCTTCATCTCCTAATTACGTCCTTTGCCAATGTCTCAGTTCATCTCTCACTGGATTAATCTTAAGAGCATTCCACCTGCTGCCAATAGCTCCCTATGCCCTGAGAGTAAATGCCAAAGTCCCTCCAGGGACCTGCAAGGCCCCGTATAAATGCGCTCCCTCACACACATTCTGAGTCACACACATGATCTCCTAGCTGGACTTGGAGCCTCCGGGGCACACTTCTGCCTCAGGAGGTGTGTGTTTTCTGTTTCTCTTCCTGCATGTTCCTCCCACAGATGTCCACATGGTTCACTGTCTCACCTCCTTCAGGTCTTTCCATAAACATCACTTTATTAGTAAGGCTTTATCTGACAACACAAGCAAAAGCCACAATTCCTTCAAACACTTTCTATCTGCTTCCCTTGCTTCAGTTTTCTCCTTAGCATTTACCACCAGCCAATTGACAACATAGCACTTATTCACCTCATGTGTGCTGTCTGCCCTGTCACCGGGATAAGCTCTCTCAAAGCAGGTATTTCTGTTTGCTGTATTCAGTGTTGTAGTCTCAGTTCCCTGGACAAGACCTGGGACCTAATAGAGATATATAAAAATTGGTCTTTACTCTGTCTATTCATCACATAGTGTATTTTACCTTTGAAAAAATTCAAACATAATATCAGGTCCTCCATGTTTGAAATTCATTAGTTGTTCTCCACTAAGGAACAAGGTAAAATGCTTATTTTTTTTATTTGGATGTACAAGTGACTCTGTGATCAGGTCTCAATTCTACCTCCTCATCATGCCTCTCCATCACATGCACAAGAACCTACTACATACTTGTTACAGCTTGTCCCCATTTGCTGTGGCTGGCCCATATTCAGTGCCTGATATGCTCCTTCCCAGTGAGTTTACCTAACAAAGCCTTCCCTCACCTCTCAAATCAGTTTGAACGCTACTCTCCAGAAGATGAACTGTAGTTGTCTTTAGTATTAACATAGAAAGAACACTCTCAGATCCCAAGGTAATGTATCTGCCTGTTCCTGCCTCTCTCAATATGTGAAACTTCACTTTAAAGATTAGATTAGATCTTAGTCGATCAGCAAAATGCTTACATATGTTTAATAAAGAATAATTGTTTGAATTGAATAAGTAAGGAAGGCATTACCTCGATTCTGGGGATTTAGGGCAGTTTATCCACCCCTTCCCCCCAAACTTTTTCATATCATGGCATACACAGAAATTTTGTATGTACTGTCCCAAGAATAAGTAATGGAGGCTGCCCTTGGAGGACAAGACTAGTCTGGGGATGTTAGTTACCCTACACTCAGAACACTAGTGGAGTCAATATCTCTGCCTATCTGAAACTCACGTGAAGCACCACAGATGAGACACTCTGGACTGAGTGACCAAAACCCCAGTAGGAACTAATTTTTATGCCCTCTGTGCCTCACTCTTGCTTAATAAGCTTAGAAGTCTTCCCTGTGTTGGATTTCAGGTCTCACAGTTAATAACAAAGCCAGGACTTTCCCCACTCTGCTCATTCAGCCCGAGCTCTGTGACCCTATTCTTTCCAATGACTCCTCTGACTTAAGGAAATGTGTAGATACAAGTTAGTAACAGTGTAAATGTACTTTTAAACATCATATACATTCGAATAATTTATAGAATATATTTGTAATTATAGTATCCAGACTTAAACAGAAACCTCAGATACTACTGCTGTTTCTTGTCAGCCACTAGATTATGTGGTGGCAAGTGTCTGTAAAGAGTCAAGCATAAGACAGAATAAGAGGACAAGGCAGAGTTTTATCATTATTAAAGAATGAGCCAGAAGTAAATAAAATTGAAAAATGCAAAAAAGGTAAGTAATTATTCAACTCTTAAGACATTTAGCCTACACCAATTACAAATATTACATATTTTGGGGGGGATTTATAGTAATCCTTTGTTCAGACAAAATGCAGCCTGATTTTTGTGTGAATTCTGCATGTGGGCTATGGTTGCATTTAACCCTGAATTTTATTTTCACTTACCTTTTCTGCCAAGCAAAGGATACTGTTTATTTTGTGTATTCCCTCACATCCAAATGAGAAACGTGACATTTACCAGAAATTTGACTACCTAGACTGAAGGTTATTATGTGCCTCACCCTGCATTTATAAACAACATGAAGTTTTTTGGGGAAAAAAATATTCCTTACTTCTCCTGATTTCCATATTCCTTCTCCTGATTTCCATATTCCTAAGTATATCAATGAAAAGGAAACCCCTATGTGCTCTAATTACCTACACATGCAGTACTTCATCCTACAGCATCTAAAGAGGTCTCATGAACAAAGATATTAAACTTAATATTATAAAGAACCAACTTTTCCCCCTAGAGCAAGGATTTTACTTTTTAATAGTATTTCATACATTTCACCCAAATCATTGCAAGGAGATCTACATAAAAACAAATTTAAAAAGAAGAATTTCTCTGGTGGATACAGATGAGGGGCTCTGAGGCTAGTGTGTTCAGAGTCCTCTTCTCCTATTCTGAGGCACTTTTGTTATATCTTGAAACTCCATGAAGCATGATTTGAAAATCAAATGGCTTTTCTGTGACTCTTGTTCACGGTGGAAAAACTTACAAATATGGGAAGGTAGTGGAGACCCTATATAGCTTTCACAGAATTGCCCACCTGGAGTGATACAGTTGGTTCTGGAAGTTAAAAAGTCAAAAAGGGGGATCTCTGGGTGGCTCAGTGGTTTCCCGCCTGCCTTTGGCCCAGGGCGAGATCCTGGAGACCCGGGACCCAGCATGGAGCCTGCTTCTCCCTCTTCCTGTGTCAAAAGGAACAAACAGGAGCCATCAGCCTTGGGCAGGAGCCTATAGGTGGTCTGGAGCAAGGAATGCACCTAAGGCAAACTGAGAAACTTCCAGGAACACACAGAAATGGTGCTAAGATGACTCAGGCAAAGAGGAAATGAGAAACAGGAAAATGCAAAGGATACTCTGGAAGGAGCCACAGGTGACCACAGAACAGCACTTTGAGCAGACAAGGGCAGCATGGGGTGGGCCCTTCTGTCAGGAAGAGAGAACAGACTAAACAATAATGAGATTTTATGCTTTCCTAATTCCCTGGAGCTTCCCTGGAGTTTCCTAATTCCCTAATTCATCTGAAGCTCAGATGTTGCTTTGTTTCCATTGGCTGCTGCACAGGTGTGGGAATTTATGGTACAGAGGAATTGCACCTTAAAAGTGCTTTAAGTTTTAAAGTAAAAAAATCAGAACAAACAAAAAGCAGAAACAGATTTATAGAGACAGAGAACAAACTGATGGCTGTCAGAGGGATAAGGATGGGGGATGAACAAAATGGGTGAAAGGGAGTGAGAGGTGCAGGCTTCTAGCTATGGAATGAGTAGGTCAACAGGATGAAAAGTATAGCATAGGAAATTAGTCCATAATATTATAATCATTATGTGGGGACAAGCTATGCTTGTGGTGGCCATAGTATAACATACAGAGTTGTCGAATCACTATGCTGTACACCTGAAACTAATGTAACATTGTATGCCAATTATACTTCGATTATAAATAAGTAAATAAATAATTTTGGAAAATTTAAAAGGTAAAGTAACAAATCTCCTTAGAGTCTAAGTAAAAAATCTTAAGAAATATACTGTTTGGGCCATTGGTATACCTTATTAGTGAGCTCAACCAGAGTGATCTATTCCCAATGTTGGACAGACTACTATGTCCTCAATTTTGTGTCAGAACAAGTATCTGACTTGGTCCAGGGCACATGCTCACAATTTCCCCCACTATATAAATTGTTACTTTTATTTTATTTGAGGTAGAAATCTTGACTTCCGGGACACCTGGGTGACTCAGTGGTTGTGTGTCTACCTTTGGCTCAGGGAGTGATCCTGGGTCTGAGGATCAAGTCCCGCATTGGGCTCCCTGTGAGGAGCCTGCTTCTCCCTCTGTCCGCTTCTCGCCTCTGCTTCTCTCTCTGTTTCTCTCTCATGAATAAATAAATAAAATCTTAAAAAAAAAAAAAGAAATCTTGACTTCAACTCTCACAAACTAGAAACTAAAACATATAAAATTGTACTCTGAAACTGCAAATGAATTGGTTTCCAAAAATTGAAAAATTATCTCACTTTAGGATGGCCCATTATGGTGGATGCCTGTCTCTCTCACTATTGGTAACTATTCATTACAGAGTCAGTTACTTACATGAATCAGTGTAGGCTCAGGACATCACAAATGTCATAGTTCCAAACTGAAGTCACAGGTCTGAGAAAGTAGATCATGAGAGACATTCAAAGACAGAGAGAAACTATCCCTGTCAAGAAATGAGGGTGGCATCCACTGATAAAAGGGATACAGTTATCAAGGCTGGAAAACCAGGCCAGATAAGTGCAGTGTGGGACCATGAGGCCCTCCAAGCATGTATCTGTGAGAAGTGAGGTGGGAAGGAAAGGTTCTAAATTCAGACCAGGTAACGGCAAGTGATCTAAGTAGGCCGAAGATTGACATAAAAGATGCTTTGGGGAAGTAGAACAAGTACCAGAGAGAGTATATAAGTGAGTTCCTAGAAAGCAACTTTCCTTCCATTTACAGTTATTTATCTTTCAGTTAAAGAAAATTAAAAAGAAAAATGGTATTTTGAACCAAATAGAAACAACTTAATAACAACCTAAAGGACAGAGTATTTAAATATTTTCATTACTTATATTTAGCATCAAGGGCTTAAAAAGTCTTTTCTGTATATGGATACAGATGCATGATAGATTTATATTTTTATTTTTTATCTATAGAAACATATACTTAATTTTGTAAGAATTTTTCAAGTGCTGCTTATTTTCTGAATTTGAATAAACTGATAGTAGCTTAAGGATATTCATCTAATTTTATGAAACATTTTCTTCTGGGTTATGGGTGTCTCTTGGAACTCTGGTTCCAAGAATGGTGCAAGAATGCAGCCAGAGTCACAAAACAAGTACCAGAACTCACAAGTCTCCAGGTTCTCTTTCTGTGTGTCTTTGATGCTTCTGTCTGTAAACCGTTTATGCTCCTCTCTGTCTATAAACCAGCCTTCTCCACTGCTCACTCCCAAGGCAGAAGAGTGTTGTGTTCTCTAGTCAGGATTTTTCATGTCTGCTCCATGTGAGAAGCTCAGTCTTCGACTGGACCTTCTTGGTATGGGTTCATATTTCCAGGGAAAGGCTCTTACTCGCTCAATTCAGGTGGGGTTTCGCTCCCAACTCTGATAAACAGTGGTATAAATGTGACTGCTGGGCGCAACCCAATTAATTGTCTTACAATCTTTAGTTGGTGGTCTAGGGGAAGTACATAAATAAGAAAATGTCCAGAGAAGGAAAAACGTGAATAAGACCCACCCTGCCAAAGGTATGCAGTATAAGGGATACAGAGAATTTTAGAAAGCTGTCACAGAGATTGGCCTTCTTAGCGACTCCCTTCCCACCCAAACAAAGCCTTGTCCAAACTTCTGGAAGGAAGACGGTTAAGGATAATAAGGCAGTTTTATGCAAAAATTAAGATAGACACAAGAAGTGAGCACAGGGCAGCATTCTTGGTATGGTGATTGTGACAACCAAAGGTATGTGGTTGTGTGTGTGTGTGTGAGAGAGGGAGTGTGTGTATGTGTTCACGTATTGTGTGGTGGGAGGCAGCAGCTGTGTACTGGTCCTCAGCCAGGTGACCTCGGTGTGGTAGCAGCATGGTCTACCGCCACATCCTTTGGTAGGAAGTAGCTATAAAGCCTTCATGAGTGACATCAATGAAAGTGACTATTTTACTGGAAGGAGAGTTAAGTGTCAGATTCCATACAGCAGCGAAAAGGACATATTCAGGAAGACCTGGAACTAACTCTCAGAGACTCTCTGAAATCACTTGAGAGTCTTGGAACAGTCAGGGGTTTGGAAGGCATGGCCGTTTTTCATCTGCAGGGTCCAGTGAAGTGCAGATGACTCCAGATGAAGCTTAGCATGATTTTCCTCTCTGTTCACCTTGAGTCTAAGGAACTGGCTATCATGGCGCATTTCAATTTTCCGATCACTCTTTACTTAATGAGTAACTATCCTTGAGGTACCTAGCCTTTTAGATCTCCTAATCTGCTATTGTTAATTGCTTCTAATCTGAAGCTGAAAAAGACATTTTTTTTTTTCTCTCAGTGACAACAGTGAAGCTGCTTCCATTGTGAAGCCAGGCAGTGCATGGCAATAGAGACTTTGGAGCCTGGGCACAGGATGATAATTTTACCTGGCAGTAAGCAGAGGTTTTGAAACCAATCCCACATAACAGTGCTGAACTGGAAGGTTCTGGTCTAGCTACCCTTTCCCTCTTCCATTTAAGAAAAGTCATCCATTCCTCTGATCCCTAAATTCTACATCTGTAGAGTGACATTGTTTTTACTTTCTGTACTTCCTATCCAGGAAGTACTTGTTACAATCAAGGGAAATGCTAGGTATGTGGAGGACACAGTGTAATATATATATATATATATATATATATATATATATATATATATATATACACAGTAACCATTGTATTCGGTTACTAATTGGTGGAACTTGTTCTGAGAATCAGATATCCCAAAGCCCCAGCAAATGTTAAATCACTTGCCAGATTTTCGTAGAAGAAAGGATCCTATACCAAAACCCACCATTTTTAGGCAAGCCTGATGAAGCTAACATCTTCATTAGCTGAAGGGAAAGGAGAGAGGCCAAGAGGAGAATTCTGGATGCACACAGCTTTCCAAGGCTTCACTTCTGCTGATTGAATGGAAAGAATCGGGCATAAGATGGAAAAGGGGGAGTTACTGGGTCCCCATTTGTCAGAAAAAAAAGGAAAAAAGCCTACACCAAGGGGTTAGCAGCTTAAAAACATAAATAAGTAGGAGGAAGAATTCTTTGAAAGATCACTAAGGCAGAAAAATAGGAAACCACAGACTGCCATTGGTTGAAGTTTTTTAAAAATATTTTATGTATTTATTAATTCATGAGAGACACAGAGAGAGAGAGAGGGAGAGAGAGAGAGAGAGGCAGAGACATAGGCAGAGGGAGAAGCAGGCTCCTCACAGAGAGCCCGACTTGGGACTCAATCCTTGGTCCCCAGGATCAGGCCCTGGGCTGAAGGTGGCGCTAAACTGCTGAGCCACCTGGGCTGTCTGAAGTTTTTTTTTTTTTTTTTTTTTTTTTTTTAAGATTTTATTTATTTATTCATGAGAGACACACACAGAGAGAGGCAGAGACACAGGAAGAGGGAGAAGCAGGCTCCATGCAGGGAGCCTGACGTGAGGACTTGATCCCGGGTCTCTAGGTTCATGCCCTGGACTGAAGGTGGTATTAAACTGCTGAGCCACCCGGGCTGCCCAAAGATTTTTATCCCAACAAACAAAATTGCTAGGAAGCCTCTGCATGGTTGGAAGGACTAGAGTCTTCAGTGAGGAATATTTGCTTACTTTTCACCATAAGAAGACCAAGAGCAAAATGATTGAGGAGATCAGGTGCTATTTTATTTATGCTTTTATTCTTTATTTGATGACCCTTGAGAAACATTTGGTGGCAGGACATATATACAGCTAATTTCAAATTTGTAATTTTGGATAAACTATTTATCCAACTAAAATATGCAGGCTCCTTTGTCTTCATGGAGAGGCAAAGTCAGTTCTTCTACATTAATCATGATTTCGTAGCAACTCAGAGTCGACACTCTTACTTTGCATCATCCTTACTTGGACACCAGTACTCAATTCTAAAATATTTCAGAAATGTAAACTAAGATACTAGTGAAAGAACATATTCAATAAGCACTTTGATAATTAAAAAAATATATCTACAGAGATGTGATAGTTAATTCTACAATGGACTATAAAAATAATGATAATAGTAATATTCAATGACATTTGTGGAACAACTGCTTGGTACTGACTTGTAATGTTTTTTTGTATCACTGTATTCAATTCCTTTAGAAATCTATGAACTAGATAGCCAATTATTTCCCTTTCTTAGATACAGGAATTGAGATGTTAAAAATTTGGCTCAAGGCAACACTACCAGGAAATCATGTGGTAGAGACCCATTTCACACTTTGGTCTGTCTGACCCCACATCTTAGACACAAGGCTTTACTCACTGTCTGACAATGGGCTGAGAGCGCAGGAATCCCTACATAGTTAGCCTCAGGCCTACACCAAATTCTAAATTCCATTTAAATTTCACTTTGGATCTATTGACTTTCCACTGTAAGGCCAGCTATTTGCCATCAACAATTGCTAACTGTGATTTTCTTCCCACACTAAAAATTCCCTAGCTGAGGTTAAGTAACTGCCATCAGTAAGTGGAAAGTTTGGACAGGAGATGGCTGCAATTCTTTTTTTGGTTATATCCAAAAAATATATCCTGATATTCTTTGGTATCAGAATGTATAAATCAAGGGAAGGCAATACTGAAAAAGACTTATTCTCCACTGCTTGTGAATTACTCTGCTACCACCTTTCTGAAGAAATCAAAGACTTATCACATAGAAGACTCAAAAGTTATTTTTTTTTTTTTTACTTCTGAGTCTTACTGCAAATATTAATGTGCTGCTTTGCCTTCCTGCTGGGTTGAACAGGAATGATGGCAAATGAAGAGAAAAATCACTGATGTTCCCTAGCTGGCAGGGGTTTCTCTGTACACTGACTCTTTTAGACCATATGCCCATTTATCTGCACCTTTTTTTTTTCTCATATCTATTAGGATGATTTACTTCTGTTAGGGAATCTAAGGGAGGAGTGAGCCATAAACTGAGCATTTCTTAAACCACGGCTACAAGCTGAGACTCTGTGGGAATGCTATGTCTACTCATAACGGACTGCAGAGGGGATTGGAGAACTGAGAAGCTGGGATTGGAGAACTGAGAAGCTTAGGACACGCACACTTACCGTAAGCTCACAGCTGGCTGCACATTTGTCCTGTCAGGGAAGGGAGGAGATGGCTCTAGAGAGCATTCATGCAGGAGCCTTGCTGGAGGTGGATGGTGTAGTGCTCAAGAACACGGGCTCCTGAGCAAGTCCACCTGAGCAACAACAACAACAATAATAACTTTGTACCAAGACATATGCATGAATAAGTTCAGGTAAAGCCTTTAGAACAGAGCCTGGCACACAATAAGCACTGTATAAGAATTTGCTATAATTATTACAACTACAGACTACCCTTACCATCATTATTAATGATACAGAATGAAATAAAGAAGTAAATATAGATTTATACTTGTATTTTCATACAGAAGTGTGTTTAAGCCATGTTCTCCTGCAACCTTTTTTCTAAAACCCTTTCCCCGGCTGCACCCTGGGGCAAGGAACCCGACGCAGCTGCAGCAGGGGCCCCTGCCGCGTACCCTGGAGCTCTTCTACGATGTACTGTCCCCCTACTCCTGGCTGGGCTTCGAGGTCCTGTGCCAGTATAAGAACATCTGGAACATCAACCTGCAGTTGCGCCCCAGCCTCATTGCAGGGATCATGAAAGACAGCAGAAACCAGCTGCCAGCTCTGCTTCCCCGCAAAGCCCAATACCTGAAAAATGACATTAGACTCCCAGGACAGCATGTCCAGGTTCCCGTGCAGTTCCCCAAGGATTTCTTCTTTGTGATCCTTGAAAAAGGAAGTTTATCAGCCATGAGATTCCTCACTGCCGTGAACATGAAACACCCAGAGATGCTGGAGGAAGTGCCCAGGGAACTATGGATGCGTGTCTGGTCGTGGGATGAAGACATCACAGAACCTCAGAGCATCTTAGCCGCTGCAGAGAAGGTCGGCATGTCTACAGAACAAGCCCAGGGACTTCTGGAAAAGATCGTAACACCAAAGGTGAAAAACAAGCTCAAGGAGGACACTGAGGCAGCCGGCAAATATAGGGCCTTTGGGCTGCCAGTCACTGTGGTCCATCTGGATGGCCAAACCCACATGCTATTTGGCTCTGATCAGATGGAGTTGCTGACACACCTGCTGGGAGAGAAGTGGATGGGCCCTGTGCCTGCAGCCATAAACCCCAAACTTTAAGTATAGCCAGGGGAAGCCTATAGGGATGAAAAAGCAGACCATCTGCTTACCCTTCTTCCACTGTGTGACACATCTCTTGGGGCCTGATTTCTCTGTCTGATAGAGGATCCTCTGTGGCCCCGAGAGATGCCATGTAGGGGGCTTCCTGGTGCCCCAAACTCTGCTCTCCCTCAGAATAAACATAGTATTTCTGGGGAAAAAAACAACCGTTCCCCCTCTATTCATGCACAGATACATCCTTTTGTTTTAGCTATCGGGACATATATCTTAATTTTTTGGTATATTTTTTATTGGAGTTCAATTTGCAAACATATAGTGTAGCACCCAGTGCCCATCCCGTCAAGTGCCCCCGTCAGTGCCTGTTACCCAGTCACCCCATCCCCCCTCCCACCTCCCCTTCCTCTACCCCTTGTATATCTTCATATTAAAAAGTGATTGCTGCAACCATTTGTGAAAGAAGAAAAAAATAGAGGGGCTCCAATTCTTTAATGGAACGTGATGTGATTGAGTGAGAACCTTTCATTATAGGGACTGGAGGTTGGCAGAGTTTCAGGGGCTCAGCACTGAGGATATTCAAGTGTGGTTGTCCCACAAATCAACCCCTCACCCCTGGTATGCTCTCTTTTCAATTGCACTGAGGTTACCTTCTGACCAAAGTAGAAGAAATTGGACCAGTTGAACATTTTTTTGAATTGTTGCGGGATGCCGCACTACCAAATTATACACCTCAGTATCAAGTATAGTTTCTGGCACATAAAAGACACATAGAAATTTATTATTGCTGAATGACTATGTGTCCCTATAATCAAAACTTTCCTCCATCTTCAAAGCTTGGTAAGGAAGAGTCGCAGAGACCAAGCCTACAAGGGTCATTCCAGGGCCATCTTGTCAATGGGAGTCCCTGGCTCAGGAAAATAGCTTGTTTGGATCACAAAACAGGTAACAACCTGGATATTATTGTAGTGTTGGATGTGGCAGTATTTCAGGATCTGATGTCATCTGATACCTCCAATCTTTAGCCTGCTTACTATATTCAGAGTCCATTCCTTTAAAACAGCTTTCTACTTGTGTGACTTACCTAAGGAGTTGGATAACAGTGTCCAAATTCCTATAATTTCTGAGATATAGTGCTATATTTTTAATAAATAAACCATATTCAGTTTCACATCACAGACAGTATTTTGAGCTGGGTTAGTTCTTGTGAGTTGGCTTGGTACAAATCAGCTTTCTTATATCTAGTTGATACTAGGACACATGCACATAAGCAAAATGAAAAAATTAAAAAGTGAAGATGAGAGCCAGACTCTCAATCTTAGAGGTTATACTCTGGTGTATTTTTCTAATCATTTCGTTGGCCTTCCTTCTGGCAGCACCTTGGTCTTGCCCTGGTTTTGTTTTAAAGACACAGACTAGTCTCAATATGTTCATCTCCATTTGTTGCCCCTGTTTTGTAAGGGTCTCAAATAATAGGGATATAACCTCCATTCTGCTCTGTTTATCTTCTCTTTCCTGGTGGGTAATATATACCTTTAATGACACTTTGTCAAGATTCTATAACTTCTTGGTGACTCTTGGCTTTTAGAAAATTCTCTAATACTTCAATACTTAGACTCAGTCTTTCACTCTTTAAAGCTTTATTTTCAAGCATAAGGCAAACGTTCATATCCCTTTACCCCTCTCCCCAACCCCAACTCAAGCTCAGCTGTCCTGTAGTCTAGTTTCTTGGATTAGGTGGGGGAAGGGTTGTGTGTTGAGCTCTTTACCCTCTTTGTTTTCCCCCTTCCTTAAGTGTTAACTCCTCAGATGTATTGGGCAAGGACAATTAGAGTAGGAAATGGTGGTTGTCTTCTTACTTCAGAGACTAAGAGTTCCTTCCTTATTGGCTGTTACGAGTTCACTGGCTGATACCAGATAATAGGCTGCTCAAACAGAGCAGGTAAAGGTCCTCTGGAGGATGTGGCTGCGATCTACTCCATTGCACTCATCTCTTTGGCATGAGATCTAGTTCTGGACTCCTTTCCTCCTCTACTTTCTAAATTTTATCACAGGATTCCATCATGGATCCTCTTTTGCCCAGCCCCCCTTAAACTGGAAATTCTCCTGATTGGGTATATGGTCAACTAGCTTCCTTAATGCCCCCTGAATTGTTGGGAAGTTCCCTAGGCATAGCATAGGGCAGGACTACCCTCTACCACTGCTGCTGCCCATTTTCCCTCTACCATCTCACTAATTTTTTTGGTCTTGCCCAGATAGCACAGAGCAAGTTCATGACTGTATGGATGTCTACCCAAAAGTTGTCAACTTTTCTTATGGCATTCCACTCTTCGATTTTAGAGAGGGAAGGATGTCCCTTCTGAGCCAAGAATTCATTGGTGTTTCTGTTTTCCTGTATTCCAGAGTAGTTGTCTCAAACTATATGTATCTTCATAAACTTGGAATGTGGAGTAATTAGTGCCTTTAACCTCAATTTTACATCTTAGCTAAAGTTCTGAGGCATGAAAAATCTCTCTTGAACTCCTGTTACATTTTCTTGAACACTTCCAACTCTCTCTTTGAGCCTTATACCCCCCACTTGCCATTTCTGACAACTAAATGGAGTAGGCATGTGACCCCGAGATGTGCCTTGGATGCACATGACACCTTTGCAATTAGTAAGATAAAGGGCATAGAGAGAGATGTTTATTAAACACAGGAACTTGTTATTGGCAAAAGGAATTCAACATATGCTTTCACTCATTCACTTATTCCACACATATTTATTGAGACCCTGCCACGCACAGAGCACTAGCACTGAAAAGATGCAAGAACTTACAACCATCTGTTTTGGGAGACTGATAATTCAGGTGTCAAAAGGCCATGAGACAGGGGCAATAGGCAACCTCTAGATGAAAGAGATAGACAGAAAACTTTCTTCCCTGAAGATGCAAACATCATGGTTAACTTTTAAAGAAAGAGGAGAGGAGTTTAAAGACAAGACCGTAGGTGGCCAACATTTTAGAGATTTGAAAAAGAGCTAATAATCAGTAAGGAGAGAAAAAAGAGAAGGAATGGTGGCTTCTAAAATTAGTGCAGTACTACAGAGAGGATGAAAAAGGAAGTTTCAAAAACCAGAATGGGATTTAATAATATTAAGTTCCATAGAAAAGCCAAGGATGGTGAAAAATGAGATGGGGCAGGGGGAGTATTTCATAAGTACAGATGACCTTTGAGAGAGCACTTTAGTAGCACGGTAAAAAGGAAGAGTGCAGTGGATTAAGAGCAGGGAGTGGCCAGTGAGGAGGCAAAATTACCTTCCTTTTTTATTTCATTGTATTTTTTTAAATTGAAGAATAGTTGACACACACTGTTACATTAGTTTCAGGTTTACAAAATCATGATTCAACAACTCTATACATCATGCCATGCTCACCACAAGTGTGGCTGCCTTGTTAAAACTATTACAAATCATTGACTATATACCTTGTGCTGTCCCTTTTATTCCCATGACATTCATTCCATAACTGGAAGCCCCTGTCTCCCACTCCTCGTCTAAGGAGTTTGGAAGGACAAAGGGTTAGCCCTGGTAAACTTTTATTAACCTTAAACAATGAGAAAATCTAATGCATGAAAGCAGAGGCAAAGGGATGAGTGAAAATGAGGAAATGAAAGTTAGCGCTGAAGGAATAAGGTCCTAGAAGGGGCAGGGCGGTGTGAGAATCAATGTAAAATAGTATGTTAGGAGGCGAGGATTCAAATCATTAAAAAATAAAAATAAAATTACCTATTTTGCTCTTCAGTGGAGGTACTCCTTGTGTTGAAAATTAGAATTGATTGATGTAATTTTTTTTAAGATTGTATTTATTTATTCATGACACACACACACACACACACAGAGGCAGAGACACAGGCAGAGGGAGAAGCATGCTTCATGCAGGGAGCCTGATGTGGGACTCGATCCCGAGTCTATAGGATCAGGCCCTGGGCTGAAGGCGGCGCTAAACTGCTGAGCCACTTGGGCTGCCCGATTGACGTAATTCTTTATCTTCCCAAAATTTAAGCTGAAATACTCCTTCATGCTACTTGCATTTAAGGTGTTGACTCCCAGGAGGGAAGATCTTCCTCAATTTTATTAATTTAGAATGGTGTTCATTTAAAACATGAGTGAAATTAGTTGGGGCCCATAGGTCCCTGGAAGGAAGAGTGGCTGAAGTAACCTATCTGAAGTCAGAGATGAAGACAAGCAATGGAAGCAACCATTCACATTCAAGTCGACCATGACACCATGCTATTTTCTCTGGCTCAGGAGTTTCCAGTGTTAGTATGAGTGAAGAGATGTAAGTGTTCACACAGGCACCAGGTGAAAGACAGGGATAGCTATCTGACAACAAGTTCTCTTTTCAAACAGCTATGATTGAGTTTTCAGAAAGTTTCACTTCATCGAGCTCAATAAAACCAAACATGAGTGGAAAAGAGGTGCGAGGTGGCCTCTCCCACATAAAACTTTGTGGGGATAAAGCAAACAAGAATAGTGTTTCTACCAACAATAACAGATCAGAAATATCTTTGCAATGTCCTCTCAACTCCATGATATATTCTGCTGTTTTGAGGGCAAGAAGTATGAGATAAGACAAATGTGTAATTACTTCTTGACCCACTCTTTCTAGTTTTCCATTTTCATGAGACGCCACAATTCATTATTTGCATTGATATATACAGAAGGATGGGGATGCTTAGTTGATATTCATTTATTCAGCAGTCTGTAATCTATATTTAATGGAGTACCAGACTGTGGCATAATAAACCGTTTAGAAAGATAGCTGCTTCATACACAGGGGTTATTGCTTGCATAACCTGTACTTATTTTTCATTACAAAACTAAAAGAGCAAAGCATAATTCATACAAGCAAATGAAGTTAACATTTAATGGCTTGAAAAATGATAGTATGAGCTTGTACTGTCAGGCACTGAGTGGCTGTAAAATAAAAGAAAAGAATCCCCCCAAAATTGCTAAATAAAAAGCTGTTTTTTAGCTTACTGCAAAATATA